GTTGCACCACGGACCGTCATGCTTTCGAATAAGCCATTCAGCCGGTGCGATATACCGTGTTAATATAGTGCATCCCGTCTAGACGGGAGCGTTCTGAACCGGACTAAAAGTTACCTCGTTACGTCGCGAATTCTCCTGCGGAAAGGACCGACGACCGGGGGCCGGAGGAGCACGGACGGATTCGAAGGTTGAATGTCGCCCTCCGGCCGATCTTTCGCCTGAGAATGACAAAAAGAAGCGGGACGCTCCTTTTGTCAACGCTCCGAGAAGAGAGATGCGAATTATATCCCGTATTTCGATGCCGCGTTCGTCGGGAGGAGCGCGCGCCTCACGATGAGAGGCCGGTTCGCAAAAGGTATTCCGGCAGGGCATTCACGAACGCGCCGAACGACGACGACGTCGACGACGATCCGATTCTCCGAAGCTGGAATAACACATCGCGTGTAATCATCACACACGGGACAAATAAAGGCTCTCCCGGCTTCGGCGCACTGAATGCGCGGAATCAGAATGCGGAACATTATCTCTCTCGGGCGGCGCGGGGAAGAGTTAAAGCGGTCGCGCTTCGATCGCGCCTTCGTCGTCCGTCGCTTAATAACCTGGTTTAATTAAATTCAAAGCGCGCGTCGCTCGCTTCGATGTCCAATAACCGAGCGAGCGAGTGCGCGCACACACGGTGCAACCACCTCAGAAACTGGTGCAAACTCCAAGAGGCCCGGAACGACGTTATCGGGACGGTAGACGCGGGCAAGCGCACAATACGCCGCATTCAGCGGACACCGCTCGCGCGCGGTGTCACCGGCACGTCGGTTCGCGTGTAACGCGCGGAACAGTCACGGTGCATCGGGTTGTATATATCGCGCGATTCTAGTCAATACGCGCCGGCACGCCGTATAATGCTTGACAAGAATTGCGCGGCAAGAGGGAACGCGCACGTTCGTCGTCCCGGCCGCGTTGAAACGCGTCTTCCAAACCGCCTGACAAGTTGGAAAGTTCGCCGAGCAGCGTGTCGCGTCTCCCTTCCGAAGGAGAACACCTCGCGGGGAGGGGGGGGATCAAACGGAAGGGCGAATCTGGGTGCGTTATCGTTGCCTGTAAGCACATAATTTGGGCCCAATTTCCTCCCCCCGAGTCAATATTTTCTACCCCAAAATGCACGAACGAAAAAATGAGTATCAATTCGAGACTCTGATGTTATAAGAATACATAATCGATTAAAGTGCATTGTATATTTTGCTTGTGAAATTATGCTGATAAATTACTAATTCGAAATATATTTGGTTTCTTTAATTGTGAAAATAGCGGCAACTTTGCTAGGAACTTGGTATTAACGGAGAACGTGAGTGCTCACCGCGACTCGAGCACCGTACATACGCGCAATGCGCCGGCCTGACAACTGAACGTTGCGGGTTGCCGCATATCAGGCGCGATTCTCTCTCGCGGAAAAGCGACGAAATAACGCGACGTGCGTTCTCGAGGATCCGCGATTAATTAGCCACTCGGTATACCGGGGCAGGGCACGAGAGAGCGGTGAATACCCGCGGCCGGAATACACTTGATAGCTTCATGAAAGGCCTTGCCGATGCAAACGCCGCGATACACACGGAGACAATGCGTGCACGCAGCCGGGCGTCAGGGAGCACGTAGAGTCCCTCTCCTTTCCCCTCTCACGCTCTCTTTCTCTCTCTCTCTCTCTCGATCGAGTTACATTTCGACATATACCCGGTGTGACAAGAAAATTAACGCTCCATGTCGCCCGTCCGCCGATACCTATATCGGCCATTATCCATCGGTCGGATGATAATAACTGTCCATTATCCCGCGCTCGCGCGCAACACACGTCCAGTGCGGCGCAATTGAAGTATCGCCGTTAATCAAGTTGTGAAATTTGCGCTAATTGAATCGATAAGCCGGCGCGCGGGTCGTCGCGGAATCTCTGTCAATTTGGGGGATAAATCCGGATCGCCAAGCGACCGACCGGCCACGTGAAAACTCACTCGAGCGATAACGCAGCAGCGAAGCGAATTTTTATCAGAGTGTGTCTGAGCTGGTTGCACGTGCAAGTTTAACGTACATTGAATTGTGCAAAGTATTTTCAGAAAAAAAAAGGACCGGCCTAACTCAGCCGAGCATTTTCGGGTTGAGGTCTTTCATCGTCACTAACTTGACCCGAACGCTGAAATTTCCTGATTAAGTTAACAATTGCTGGAGACGGGAAAGTGCTTCATTACGAACGAAAGCATTATGAACTTTGCGAACTGTCTCCGCGAAATTTTCACCATTTTTGTAGAGAATTTTCGTAATTTCTATACGTTGCTGAGGAGTACATCGTTCCATCTTCGTTAACCGTGTAACTTTTAATTGTTAGCCGTTAAGGAATGACATTTCTATCTTTGATAGGTTAAAAGTGGTGCGAAATTTAGAATGAAACGTCTTAATGGAAGCCCCTGTAGAATATCCTAAGAACATCTTTAGGTCGTCCCTTGTAAATTTCCGTAAAGAATGTATACACGAACCTTTTCACTTGCATTAATGTGTTTTACATGGCTGCACATAATCAATTCATCTTTTCGAAAATACTGTATCACACACTTTCTATATCGTGCGCATCATTGTAAAACTGTCCCGAGTATTTGCACATTTTCCGAAAAAAAAAAAAAACGGAACACGAAGAGTATGCTAATGTTTTTCTAGCGAGTAAAACTCTTCCGAAAACATTCACTTGATCACCGTATGACAAATTGGGATGTTTTTTACCCGGCAAACAAGATCGATGCTGTCGGTGTCCGAGCATGCGCGGCCGTTAAATGATCGATGTCCATTCGTCAACACGACCCGAACACGATGACTCTGTTTTTCGATTCCACCCCTAATGTGTAGGGTGGAGTAACATCCCGTATGTGGTTATACGCGCCCTCGTGTTTTACCTTATCAATATAATTCGTGTGAACGTGCCAGAAAGAGCCCATTACTGACGAGTGCCATTCATCCTCGCAGCATAACGCTCTGTGCGAAGTCACCGAAAAATTAATGCGATATTAAAAATTTAATATAAATTTGACAAGCATACATCAGCATACAAAACGTCTCAATGAAATGATCGCAAAATTCGATCATTTTATATTAATCAACGCATTTAATAATCATGCAAACAAAAATATGATGTTTTTTTATGGAAGTCGCAGCGGGAACAGCACTGGCTGTCGTTTTCAGTTTCAATTATTCAGGTGAGTTTTCAAATCGGCGAGCACGGATTCGCAAGAAACAGCAGGTCTTTTCGGAATGCGGAATGCGCGCGATTTCACGGCTCTCGGAAAAAGTGGCGTTATGTCGCAGACGTGATACTTTTATTCATGTCCTCCGCGTGCCTCATTAAACCCATTTCAGAAAACCCATCGGGGAACGGCTAGAATTCGCCGTGAAAGGGGAGGACGAGTTTTGCATGACGACGCGCGCACAGCTGATCATCAGTGACGTAAGTAGGTTAATGTACTCTCAGGACATTCAGGCGCTTTAACACTTTATTCCCCTCTCATTTATGCAGGCACATTCATTTCGTAATGTGTCAAGAGAAAGATAAAATATACCGTTATGTGAAAATATACCAAAAATACCGTTTACTAATTTATATCGTCGTCGGAGCGTCAGAAGCACAAGAATTACCTTTAAATTAAATTCAGCTCAATTTTCAACACTAAATACGCGAACTAAATATATTAAATAAGAGAATGCTCACGAATAATTCACTTTCAAATAAAATATATCGTACGTATATTATTTGTTGAAAGAAGCATCAGAGCCACGACTAAATATATTTAAAAAGAATGCTCACACGAATAATTTATTTTCAATTAAAATATTTCGTATATATTATCTGTCGAAGGGGAGACATTTTTCACCCGAGCTTCATTTAGAACTCCAACGAGCCTGAATCCGTCGTTGCATTAGCGGATTGCCGCCGTTAACGCAATCACTCAGCGCCTCCGTAGGGGTTAATGAATGCGAAATACACATTAGTCAACGTTGGTAAATTTGCTCGACTCTCCGCACCCTACCGAAAGAGCCATCGTCGGGGACTCCCCACGCTGCAGTTCCCAGCGATCGACGTGTGTGTCGGGTCGAGTCCGGTCCACTTGGGCGCACGAGTCCGTGAAGCTTTTCCTGCTTACCCACCTACGCGGTTTAATCACGAAGAGTGAAAAACACGGCGGTCGCAGGCCGGAAAATGAACTAACGCAACGGAAGCCGCGTAATTAGATTCCGCCGCGCGACACAGGTGAGGCGCGCTAATAACACTAATTGTACCGGCCAACCGGTGCTCCATTAATTAAAGGGATCACTCGACGTAGCCGACAAAAGCGCAGATATTTCAGGTACCTGCCCCGGTGCGAGAATATCATCGATCGACGTTCGTTCGCCGATATGAATGCACGAATATATATCGACAATGCGGGCTCATTTTATACGAGAATTCGTAATTTTGCGTCGTTTTATCATATCCGAACAATTTTATCGAATCAAGCTCGCGATCATATTGAAGCCGGAACTGCGGGCTTTCCAAAGGTCGATGTGTTAATAATTCCACGCGAATTCTTTGAAAATGGGTTTCTCACGCGAGAGGAATTGTTTGACACGCGTTTCTTTTAATAATCCGCTGGTTTTTTCTTTACTTCAAGATCCCAGTGGGGAGATTTTGAAAAATGATTCGTCCAATATGTCTCTTGTTCAGAAGAGATTCGCTGTGTGTACCTCCGCAAGTTTTAATTAGCTCTCCAAATTGCCGATAGAGTTTCACTTCATGCAATAGTAGTAGTAGTAGTGATGCCGAAGGGTCAATATGGCCTTCCTATGTGGAATTAATAGCCAAAACAAACAGCAGGACGACGGGAAGTGGGATTATCGTTGGCAAAGGGTGGGAATAATGAATGCGCGAGGACGCGCCAGAGCGTGTTCCTCGCTTACCTCCTCTCTCTCTCTCTCTCTCTCTCTCCCTCAAAGTGTTACTGAAAAAATACCATCGTTTATTCTCTATTAATAAAATTATAATCCTTACGGCTAAGCACGCTCGCGAATTGAGCGACGACGAGCCTTTCTCAGCCGAAAAAAGCGTCGTCGCTGGAGCCCTCGGGCGTACAGTTCTGCAGCAACGACGCCGGATTCGACATGTCGCTGACAACGTCGCCGCCGACACCGTTGCCGCCGTTGCCGGTCCGCGGCGGCTTCACGTCCTGGCCCTGCGAGGACACGTCGTAGACACGGCCCGTCTGCTGGTTCTGCGAGTTGATTTCGTTGTAGACCAACTCTTGGATCTTAAGCCGGACAAACATCTGCCTGTCGAGCGGTAGACTCCTGAGGGGATTCCTCACGCTCATGAGGAAGTGGTAGGTGTCGTCCTCGTCCTCGGGCCCTATTGCCAGCCTCTTCTGCAAGGACTCGTACCGCTTCCGCTCCACTTCGATCGCGTAGTCGTTGTCGATCGCGTCCATGAGGGCGCGTTTCCGGCCGATCATTTTGTTCATCTTCGGCGGCGGCATCACCTGGTGCAGGCCGTCGTCGTTGGACAGCAGCGACTGGCAGGAGTCGCCGTCCAGGTCGTCGAACTGCGTCTCCTCGTGGCCTTCGAGAATGTCGATCTGCGGCTCGATCTGCGTGCCGTCCGGCGACGAGCGCATGCTGATCGTCGCGCCCACGCAGTTCTGCGACATGGCGCAGCCGATCACCCTCGAATTCATTTGGTCCCGCAGGAAGAACAGGCTCTTGAACCAGACCCACTTGGAATCGTGCTCGGTGCCGCCGCCGCCGTCGCATTTGCCCCGGTACGTCTTCTTCAGCTCGTTCCGGAAGTTGTCGCGCAGGTGCTTCCACTTGGATTTGGCGACGTCCGCTGGAACACACAGGGCGACGTACAGCGCGTTTACAACGTGAACTTACAGACTGCGTCTTCTTGCGACAGCTAGTTAGGTGTAAGAATGGAGGATAACTGTATCCCCCTTCCACTGCGCAGCGGTTTGAAAGCAAAGATTTTCGGACGAAATTCTGACTCTTGATAAGAACATTTTTTACATACACTGTAAATAATTGTGCGTTAAATTCAACACATTTCACGTGTCCCAAACGGCCCCACTCAGATTTTTGTATCAATTTTAACACAAGGTGAATATAGTGAAAAGTGACGTAGATAGTAATATGTAAAGTAAGAAATGTGTATTTATACGTATTTGACTAGGGCGTCATAAAACTGCACTTACATCGGCTCGAAGTGAAACTTTGAAGAAATGAATTTGGCCAAGAAATATCTATCTTATCGTTAGACCGCTATGCAGGTATATTATCCTCGTTACGTAGAAAGACAAGAGGAGTTTTAAGGATACAGCTAGACAAGGACAGATTATGCCCGTGGCACGGGCGTTCTCTCTCTCTCTCTCTCTGTCTCTAGTCACAGCGTACAACCTCTTGTAGAAGTCAATATATGTGTACGTAAGTACATAAGTCTATGATTTATAACGTGCTGCTCATAGCAGGACCTTGCGACAACATGTCCGCGGAATATGTCCCGGAAAGCTCGGCAAACCGGAAACCGTGGGATCCCGTGCGAAATGATTTCGTGCGTTCATATGTACGAGAATACGATTTCTCCGTGACAATTCGGACAATTACAAACTCGAAGAGGTCGAAGAGAAGCAACAGATACAAAACAGGCTTCCATTTAATATATAGAATGTTCCGCGAGGAAACCGACAAACTTTTAGGGTTCACGAGACTTAAGACGATCTTAAGTATAAGATTTGACTGTGAATACTGGCCCCGGAATGTATTCTAGAAGTCATTCTAAACAAAAAAGTTCAGGTACACTGGAGGAGCTAAAGCTCAGTTATCGAGATATGAGAAACATAATTCCTGTCAGTAAGTCTGGATTTCTTTTCGCGAGGTTATTTGCAATCTCGTATATACAATAACAATAAAGCAGAAAACTCTCAACAGTTAATTGGCAGAATAATAAATGCCATAAATAGAATTCGCATTGAACTAAGCGAATTAATTGGCGACGTAGTAAAATAGTAAATCTGTAGTAAAATGAGCAGCAGCATGTTTTACATACAGAAAATGAACGTTTTGAACCGATGATATGATATTAAGAGAATAATGTTTTTCTAATAAAAATTACATAAATGTCTGATACTTTTCGTTACAATATCGATAAAATTATCCGTATAAACGGTATTCATAGTCGGATCTTATATTTAAGATCGTCCTAAGTTCATCTTCAGATGCTGTACGAATCGTTTCATTGGCTAGAACGCATCCGAAGATAAATTCAAAACGGTTTTAAATAAAGACTGAAAAAAAGCGCTACCGCTCGAGTAATATTTGCTTGAACCGAGTAAAGTGGTTACTCTGGCAATCTCCTTGGCAAATATTTATTAGAAATAGTAATATAATATAGTTGACTATATATAATATGATATTTCTTCCATATGAATAGACATTTACTTGCATGTGTTGAAAATAATTGCGACAAGTATTAAATTCGCAATATTGAAAATAACAGAATTAGTTTTTCTTAGAAAATATTTATTCGACGGAAAAATCGAAATTTTAAAACAACATTATGTTTCTTAAACAGAAAAGAAGTATCACAAAATTTTAGCAAATAGTCTATTAAATTTAGAACCATTTTACGCTTATATTCAGTAATTCATTTACAAATTGAAGTATTATTGCGTCCGAGTAAATATCTAACTACAGACCACTAAAATATACTTATCAAATTAATAGAAATTACTTGATTTAAAAGGAAAATGAAAAACAGGTTGCGTATAGTTACGTTTGCTTTATTCTAACACTTCTCTTTTTATATACGATCTGATTACGAACATCGGTCTATATCTACGACCGATCCAAATTGGCCTACAATGTGTGCCTAAACTTTTTCATCTAGAATCACCTTCAAAATACGTTCTAGAAGTTCGTTGGTTTCCTTGCGGAATACTCTGTATGCAAACAAGATAAAGTAACATCATTATTACTATTAAAATGCGATCATGCGTGTAAACATAATCGGTCGGTGACGTGTCGTTCTCTCTCATGGCGTTAATCGTGCGATCGTCGGATAACCTACAGCTCGCGAGCACGTGCTGTCGCGAGCACGCGCTCGCAGGAAAGTGGAAAAGAGAGAAAAATTCAACGCTGAATGTAGCTGACGGCGATATCGACGTGCGACCTGGCGGCGACTCGCACGAACTAGCAGCCTATCGCTCCGGTCGGCTTCTTCTTTCACGAGCTATCGACTTTCCAGCGACCGGCGAGCGGTTCCAGCGAGCCGTCCGGTCGTAAGACCCGCGTTCGATTCCTCGTCGTCTTTACCGACGTCTCTCTCTCTCTCTCTCTCCATCTCATTCGCTCTCGCTTTCTTTTTCTCAGTCTCTCAACCAGATGGATCTCGCGGTACTCGACGAGGTATCTCGACAAACAGAGAGAGAGAGAGAAAGAAAAAGAGAGAGAGCTCGAGGTCGCGGAGTACAACGTNAACCGAGCCGCGAGCGCCCACCACCCACACGTGTGCACGCGTCGTGCACACACAAAGAAAGGAAGGAATCGACGCGAGTCAGCTGCCGAGCGACTATACTCACTCGACACCTCGCAGGCCCTCGCGATCTCCCGCCACATCTTCAATATGACATCGCGGTTGTGGTAGTTGACGTTCTTCTGGTCCCAGATCGCCGGTCTCGCGTGCACCTCGTTTATCAGCCTCTGCAGGTCCATCGTCGTCGCGCTCCTACTACGGCCGCCGGCGACGTTGCATCGCCGTGGCGAGCGTTTGCCGGCGCGTCGGTTGAGAAGCGTGACGCCGGCGGTGCCGACGGAGGAGGCGGCCGCACGCGCGCCGCTTCCTCCGACGCGTAGCTGGACTTCCCCGCTGGCCGTGTGCTGCTCGACGAGGAGGCGGCTCCTCGGTTTATCGACCCGCGCCGAGTCCGCTGTCCCCGCGTTGGCTGCTGCGGCGGCGGTGGCGTCAGCGTCGAGGACGACGACGGTTGCGGTCTCGTTATTACTCGGCGTATCGGCGTTGCTGCGGGAGGCGGCGACGGCGACGCCGGTCGCGTCGTCGTTGCTCGTACCGAGCCGCTGACGCCTTCTCTTCTTCCTCTTGCGTCTCGCGACGCGGCAGGTGGCGGTGGTCGTAGAGGAGGAGGTAGCGGCGGTGGTGGTGGTGGTGGTGACAGCGGCGGCGGCAGTGACGGCGGTGCTCGCGAAGCCGAGCCGAGCAGAGGAGCGTAAGCGGGACGAATCCAGGGCTATATCCTCGTCGGCTCGTGCGCGCGTGTCGTCCATACACGCGCGCGGGCCAGCCGAAGGGACGCTCGGCGTACACGCGCGAGAGGAGCGAACCGACGATGTCGGCCGAGGATCGCGACGACGAGGACTACGCGGCGATAACGACGGCGGAGAGAGCGGAGCGCGAGAAGAGGATCGAGCGAGTACACAACGCGCGCGCACGCACACAAACGCTCCGACGGTGTGGTGCTACTCGCGCGCGTCGGAGCCTTCGGCTGGCACGACCCCGGTGCTCGGCACCGCTCGGTTCCGCTCGGCGCGGCTCGACTCGACTCGACGCGACTCCGCGCGATTCCGCGCGGCGCGGACGACGCGAGAGAAGGGGGGCAGGTGAAGAGGAACGAGCGAGTAAACCACCACCGCGCGAGAGAGCGTGCAGGGGCGGAGGCACGCGCGCTCCGTAACGCGCGGGAAAAGAGAGGAAAGGAGCGTCCGCTCCGAAAGTGGCGTCAAGCGCGAACGGTATCGATGGAAATTGCCGTCAACCCCCTAACGGCGAGGCTATTTTTTCTAACCGGCTTTACCTCTCTCTCTCTCTCTCTCGCTTGTCCGCTTATTCCCCACGAGAGCAAAGAGTCTTGTCTTTATTTCCACTGTTCGTCCACGGCGAGCCTTCCTCGTGGGGAACTCGAGCACAGAAAGCCGAAACTAAACACGACGGAAGTAGGCGCGAACTTCGCTGCTACTCTGAAGTTTACGTATGCATGCGCATAAATACGCGGTAGACGAATTAAAGGCTGCAACAGTTCTTCTCCGACGAGTCTCGCAACGTAACTCGCATCCGCGGAAAATCTACACCGATAGAAAATCATAGTTAGTTACGTCGAACATATATCCTTCAACCGCAAAAATAATCAGGAACCATTTTCAATCGCTAATTTTTTCACCACTGCAGTAAGCGTTACTGTAATGTCAGTGATAATAACCTTACGTGTATGTCGCTACTATTATGAAGTATATTTGGCGCCGAAATTAACTATAGTTTTCTGTCAATGTATCTAATAAGAATTACTGAGAAACAAATTCTCTCGTTGGACATGGGATGCGTTAGGAAACTCGTCGAGCAGAAGGATTCACAATCCTTTAAATCCTCCGACCCGTCCTTCACCGGAGCGTTTTGCCTGCTCCGACATTTAATAATAATAATCATCATCATAATCGTAATAACTTTACTGATCCCAAAAATGTGCAAAGATAGAAAATGGAAGATAAAACCAGTACCGAAGACCAGTAGGCGAGGCGAACAGCAATCTGGCTGATACCGGCTGCCTTACCTGAATACCCAACCGACTACAAAGAAGAAAGGAAAAGTAAGGAAAAGAATACAAATAAAAAAACTAATCGCTAGATCGCCGTTTCGCCTGTGAATATCCACCAACCGATTGATTACGAAGAAGGAAGGAAAAGTAACGAAAGGAATAAAAATGCAGGAATTTAGCAATCGCTACCGTCATCTCCGGCAAGGATATAAATTTCCAGCAGCGGGGAGCGAAATGTGTGCGAAAAAGCGTAGGGGATTCACCAGCGATACACCTGCGCCCGAACTTCACTCGAATTTAACATTCTTTCCGCGCCAACGAAGCTTCATGGCGCACCGTGGACATCGAGGCAGCGGACCGGCATGAGCGGGAAATGGACGCGCCTTGGATGTCCAATGCGCGTCCGCTACTGTATAAGCGTGCAGCTGCAGCGGCGCGTCGCCCGCTGCGAGAACCGGCGCATCCGCTCGGCTTTATCGCGGCTCCGCGTCGCGTCGCTCCGCGCCGGGCCGCGCGGCCGCAGCAATACGGGCGCGCTCCTCGTCGTCCGTTTAGCTCGTTAGCGTGACTCCGCTCGGCTCTGCTCGACCCGGCTCGGCTTCGTTCGGTCAGATTCGACCTCGACATGGGCCGCGACGTCCAGCATCAAGCCTGTAATTCGGCTGGAATCTCCTGCCTGTGATTTCAGCTCAGGCCACGAGGAGGAAAATCGACGAGGGAACATCGGAATGAGAGAGAGAGAGAGAGAGAACACTATCTATTTCACGATATCTTCTCAAACGCAAGAAAAAAAGTACATAATAAGCGGATATAAAGGTGTGACAATATTGCAAAGAAATGAACGGCTGAAATGAGTATGTATAGTTTATACGTTTAGACTTGTTCCGCATGTTGTGTCAATTGGTAAGACAAGCCGTGCGCAATACGATGTGTGCTTGATAATGTTACGTTTAGCGGAAAGAACAAGATGAGAAAATCATGTCGACGGCTCTGCTTTCTCTTATCCACGACTTAAATTTGGGCTACCTAATAATATTGCTACGTACGTACTCAATTAGCCAAGCCAATTTCCGCGTTCAAATAGTAAAGAATAGAAGGTATCTTAAAATTCAGATATATAATAGATGAATAGAGAGAGATAGAGAAAGAGAGAAAAAGAGAGGGGGGGGGGAGAGGGGAATATTGCTCCACCAAAGCGCCCGTGTCGTTTCTCCGATGGAGACCGAGGTCAGAGTTCGGGCAATTGGATAATTTAACGATGCTTCCGTGGACGTGGCGTGTGCGAGCGTGCGCGAGGCGGCGTTCGACGTCCCATTTTACGGGCGATCTGATCAAATGATTGTTTTAAATGTCGCGAATTACCACGAGATCGAATCGGTCCCGGAGTTGTTGAGCGCTCGAGCGTTCGGCGAGATTTCGGGGAAATCGGAAAGCCCGAAAATTAAACTGTCACATCCCGTCGACCGATCAGTCGCGCGCGTATCGCTTTCCGTGCTATTGCGCGCAACATCTGTATAAATACATACGATTAATTTGGTTTTTTATCGCGCTTTTTTAACGCACGTTCCATACGCGCGCGCTTAACAACTCAAAGTCGAAGCAGTTAAGCCGAGAGGAAGAGAGAAAGAGAGAGATGCCGCTCTCTTGGTTGCGGGACGCAACCTTGTCCCGCGCGATCTCCGCGCTTTATGATTCGCATTTCTATTAATAGTCGCCTGAATAGTCGGCGAGGTATATATCCAAGGATCTTCCGAAGTAAAGGACTGGGCATATAGTCTCCGTGGATCTCCGAAAGCGGCTGCGAGACCGAAGATTTATGGACCGCTCCGGCGGAGCGCGGAGGTCCGGGCTGAATCGGAGTTGCGAAAGAAACCGCGTGGAATCGCGCGTGTGCGTGGAATCGAGATAACATTCGCGCCTGGCGATTACCCGTATCGATAATCTGTAATGCCGTTCCGGCTTATTGATCTTACCTCGGACTTACCCACGGAAGGTTCACGGAAGAAGCACGAAAGAAGAGAAACGAATATGATGAAAAGTCGCAAGGATGAAGAGACCGATTCTCACTGCACATAGTCGAAGCCCCGGCCAAATCGAGTCGCACCGGTCACTGATTCCTCGTCCTCTTCACACTTTTCGATCGTCCGGCGGTCTTCCGTCAGTAAGTCTCGTAGTATCCATCCATGGCCGGTGCCTTATTTCAAAATGCCGTCTAAATTCTTGTGATCTTTTGCTATATTACATAATTAAAGTATTTTGTAGATTTTGTTCGATCGTAGTGTGAAGTAAAGAGCAGTAGACAAATCTGTGAAAAACGTGACACGTCCTGTGACACGTCACGTGACACGTCATCGTTTGAAGTTACTCTTCTGACCAGAAGAACCTCCCAATTGGAATCCACAATTGGTTTGGAAAATATCGGACCGGATCGCAATCAGATCCCAAGAAATTGTCTATGCGTGCTATTCGCTCCCGCAATATCCGGTGAAGCGCGTCGTGATTTCGATTGAAAAATCGCAACCAGATGGTGGGAAGTGTGTCGTGACGTTTGAGTGTGCGCGACATGATGCGAATGAATTTCGCTTGAAAGAACGGACAAGATTTCCGCGAGTTACGTCGACGTGATTTGTAACAGCGCGCGGTCGATTTTACCGATGTATTCTGTCATCAGGCATTAGAGAAGCGTCGATTCGGAGGAAATTAATTTTCCGGAACCCGATTTCACTCTCTCTCTCTCTCTCTCTCTATCTCTCTATCTCTCTCTATTTCTACCTCTTCCCCTCTCATTAGCATCAGCGTTTTCACGAAGAGCCTCGCGTGTGCAATTTAACTGTGTCGCTTATCTTCGCCGTGTAATCCCCGCGCGGTCTCTCTCGCCTAAGCTTTCCACCTCCCTTCCATCGCATTTCCCGCATTTCCACATGCGCTGCGGTCGCGAGCGCCGTGTACTAATCAGCGCCAGCAACTTGAAGTAATCTGCCGACGTGTCTCATATCAGTTTCTGCCTAGTCGGCACTACACAAAGACGAAAAGAGAAAATCACAGCTGTTTACACTCGCCCCCCTCGCCTCCGTAAACGTTTCGGATTAATAATACCGCGGACTCGCGCTGATGCGGGCTCTGAAAGGGCCGAGCGAGGCTATGCAGACACCCAGAATGATTTCAAGATGAAGTTACGCGTCTCCGAAGAAGCGTCTTCCACGGTGAAGCCTTCGGCTTGTTGCATCTCTCAGTTCCGCACAATTTCCGAACTTTCGCGATATCATGGGAACGAACGTGTAACTTTCCCGGCTCAGGACTGCGAGATCGATCGCTTTGAAAGATTCATTCGTCAAATTCCCGCAGTTTCAAACTTTCATTGTCCTCCCTTTAGCGATCTGTACGGGGAAGAACAGTTTGATTGAATTGAAATGGACTGACCAAACAGGTTTCGGCCGAGGAAAACGGAATTTCCGACTGTAACGAAAATCATCGCGTCGATAGAGTCGTTGCAAATATTTCAAGAATGCCAATTCTATTACGGGAAAGTAAGTAACCAAATAAGTTTCATAAGATTTACGGTAAATTCGCGGCCGGACGCCGGGCGAACCTCAGCCGCGCCGAGATACATCAGCGTACATCAGCGATATCCGCGTACGCGACGCGGTAACCGGCAATGCAGTTCGTAATCCTTCGGTATGCAGGTATCACGATCAATAATAGGCAACAACGACGGATACACTGGGTATACGCAAAGACGGGACAATAGCGGGCTTGCTCAGTGTCCGCGCCATATATATTGAATATCTGATCCAGTATGTGAAGCATAATCCGGATAGGTATGCCTCGACATCATCGCGGATAATGCAGGCACGCGTCTGTCACGAAGAGCGCGTGACTCGTCCCGTCGAGAACCATCGAGATGTTACGGGCCGAGTTCCTGCAAGACAGTCCGCGGAGAAATATGGACGCGGGTATCTCAGTACTCGCATCGCATTTACGATGGTTTACGTAATTTCGCACAGGTGCCCTTCGTTTATTTATTACGCGCGAAATGAGCCGAGGACTCTTCGAGAGGCGATTTATAAACATTGAGGTGAACATCGCATGTGCGTCACGTAGATGTTAAATCATAATGCTGGCATACGGAAATCTTGATATCTCTAAATCATCGTCATATATCATAATACGTTGAACCGAGTAATTATATTAAAAAAGAAACTCGATATAATATTTCATTCCAAAATAGTGCGCAGGAAATGTCGAGTTGACTAAATTGACGTAAATGTAGCGCATGGAGACGTCACGGAAACGGTAAACATATATCAGCTGCACATTGATTTTACATTCGAGTGATAATCAAAAGTTATAGTAACACGAGAAAATGTCAGCATTTGGACGCGAGATTTCTTGATCGTATAAAATGACTTGGAACTGTGGAACGATTTGTTTTTTTTGCAAAACAAAATAGCCCCTTCCAATTCGTGACGCAAGCGCTGTGCGAATTTGCGTTCACATCTGGATATATCGCTCCCGCGGTGCGAAAGGCGTACGCCGATTAAATATGTTACGCGTGCGTTAATTAAACTTATGCTACCGATAAACGGCGACCTTCGTGTCTGGCTACACCTGGTAACAGGCAACCACGGTCGCACGAGCGTACCGCATGTTATACTCGCTGGGGGGAAAGCGCACTATATCATTAGTATCATTAGTCTCAACTCCCGGTATTAAACCGATTCCCGTAATCGATGGAATACACACAGGTGAAGCAACAACGTCAAGTTGTAATCCCCCGTTAAAATTAATTCATCGCTCGAGATATCTCGCGTCACGAGTCGCGCTGCTATTGCGCCTCTCTGTGTCTTTCTCTCTCACTCTCTCTCTCTCTCTCTCTCTCCTTCCTTCTCTTTTTTACTACTTACGTATTACTGGACGCTTTACGGCTGCGAACGGTTCAAAAGAAAAGATTCGGACCGGCGAAAATTCACGATCGAGAAGACACGACGGGGGAAAATGAGGTACGCGGGATATTAGCGTCAATGTTAGCGGCTTCCATCGGACCGGCGTTATCGATCACTCCGTCTGCTTACGACGCCCGCAATGTTGTGTGTATAAACGGGATTACCGCGCGCGTTCCTCGCGATATCCCCCGGAGACCGTCCTGTGGATTTTCATAGGGCCATCTCTATGCAGATTGCACTATCGTTTGCGACTGATAGGACGCCAAGATGCGACGTGGCGCCGGAATCGGGGGGAGAGGGAGGGAGGCAAGTTTAATAAGATTAAGCGGCGGGAGTACGTGCGAAGTTGCGGCTCGACAATGTTGTAAATTATGCATATTGATCCACACTTCAGATGGGGTTGCTTCGACCTGGCCCATCGAAACTACTGCGGTTCATGGCGTTGCTTATGAATACGTAACATTCGTACACACAGAGCGCAAGTCGTCAGATCTCTCTTTCTCTCTTTCTTCATCTCTCCCGAACAGAGAGAAGAAATGTTTTTCCTCCGGCGCGCTTCACGTGTTTCGTATTTATCCGAGTCGCGCTGTTAATTCTGTTATTTGTGCAGACAAATTTCCTGGAAATAGGAGCAGAATGGAGGGTGCGTGACGTCTATCGGGTATCTAAATTGGATGGATCGTTAGTCATTGTAAAGCAAATGTACATTGTCTAGAAGCAACTTATCACTTTGTTATTATTTGTTCGTGCTTATTTCCTGGTTTCAATAGTGCCGAATGATCTTGATAAAAGTGAGTAACGTCGCATCAGACAAAAATCATTTCCACGCTCTTCGGGAGCTTGTGTGCTTTATTCAACATGAGCGATCGTTTCATTACACGTGTTTCCGATTGAAAATCGACTTGACATTTAGGTATCATAGCGCGATTGGTAGAATTAAATTATATATTTTGAGAAGCTTACAATCTTGCGAAAAGATATTGTTCAAATTACCGCAGTCAATTCTGAAACTTATACGAATCAATCACATAGTACGTGTCAAGTATTGGCGATTGTATTAAAAAAAGTGCCCCAAAATATTTAGAAATGATTGTTTTTCGAATTTTTTTCGTATGGAATAATGAGCGCGCCGCAGAACCGCAAATATCAATGGAGTTTTATGTCCAAAGTATCGAACTTAAAAGTATTAATATCCGAAATACTAGAAACGTAAATCGGTTCTTGCATCATCGTGCCTTTCGGGCGCGAAAGTATTTTGTTCCATTCGTCGATTTTCGCTCTGAAAATTTTAAGGGAACGTTCCTCGATATGCGCCAGCACGGATTTCTTGAAAATCGTCGTGACCACTTTAGTCGCTATGTTCAAGATGGGATCCAGAATATGACCCTCGAATCTGATGTCATAATTCCTGCAAACCGCAAAGTTTAAAGTACAACGAAGAAATAATAAAACGCGATATAATGAAATTCGCAGCTCGTGTTACTCGTGATAACTCGTAAATAAATAAGTTTGCAAGTCAAATGCATAAAATTAAAGTCGCGTGTTGCGGGCAACGGGCAAAAGTGAAATGTTTGACTCGTGAGAGTTAACGAACGCGAGACCGGTAAATCAGGAAAGTGCACTTTGTAAGAGAGGCGGCAGATAAAATCTGACAAACCATTTTTTCTTCACGCGTTGATTATGCCGGCTCACGATGATTAGCTCGCAGTTATCGGCATGATGTAATTTCAAATATCGGCTCGTTATCGCTCTCAGACACTTTGCTACCGTAAATCTATGCAATTTCGCGAATTTATCGTCACGACGAAAACGATTGATCGCGCGCTATCGCTCGTCGCGCGAATGTCGATGGAATATTATAATTCGCGATATCGGAAACTGACAAATATCTGTCGGTATCTTGCACGATAACATCGGAATTCGCGGCGTATATTCGCGGTATTACGGCATCTTTATTCGTGTGCGATCAGTCATGGAAAGGCAGCATCACTTTTTCTCGAGACGAGTTTTGCAAACATATCTCGTATCCGACAGGAAAATGTATCTCCTGAGAATGATTGAAAACAAACAAATTCTTCTATATTAGACGCACGGGATGCGTGTCCGTTGAAGCTTGTCGAAAAAGTATGGCAATCTTTTTATGACCGATTCCAATGTGCAAAGCGCGAAAAATGTGAAGCGATATTTACCCGACGGCGGTGAACTTGATGGAATCGAGAGAAATGTACTTCCGCTTCAGGTCGAACGTCAGCAGAACTTTAGTCTTGAGGTCGAAGAAGCGACCGTACATATCGCCCAGTCTTCTCAGCAGCATGTACGATATATCGTACTCGTAGTTGAACTGTGAAAATTATAACCGGAGGTTAAATCGCCCTTATATTGGTTCTGCGACTTATCGCATTTATACGCGCGTCGCGCGTTCCATTCGCGTCTCAACGTCTCTGTCCTTACGTCCAAAACGTTGAATCCCAGATCCATGTTGAGCACCAGCGTATTTGTTTCCTCGGTAAATTTTCCGATCACATGATCGGCACGCTTTATTTGCGCGAGGTTCTGCAGCCAGCCCTTCTTGAGATCGATGTGCCCTTTGAATATCCCAGGCTGCGAAAAAGTCAAACCAAAATGACGTATGGGAATTTATCAGTTTTCACTTGTCACCACTCTGATACAGAGATGGATATTTCAATTTCGTATGTATAAAGATCATCGTCCGTAATATTTAAGAAATACTCAGAATAAAGAGAATAGAGATGTTTTACTGTAAGTGAAATTATCGCCAAAAGGAACGTACCAAATCCGGTAGAAGGTCCTCGGAAACATCGACGAGTTCCATGGGATCTAACCCATTCTTGATGATAAATGAAGTCAAATACGGCAACAGACGATCGAATGTCTTATCCAAGACTACAGTATGTTCTGTCGTCTGAACAGAGAAACTACGCAATACACGGAAATATGAATTCTTTTCAATATCCTGTTCACGAGTCGCTCGAGTGACATCAAGTCGCAAAGCATGATTGCGACTTTCGAAAAAATTTCTCATGATATCGCGCGCTTGGATAAAATTGTTAACTGATAGTTGATAGATCTTTAGAAATAAGTTGATTTTTCTTCATACAGAACCTAGCTTACTGTTTCCCGTGCGTTCATCAGCTCAGACAAACTAATTAATTAAAATTGCAATTCGCCGTAAATTTACTACTCGCGACGATTAAAAGGATGTATCGTCCGTAACTCAAAATGACGAGAGAATTACAAACTGTTGTACATTGCATTTCAAAGTGACAGAAAAATCCTTTACCATTTTGCAAACAGCACGCAAGATTTCGTCAATAACTAGTGTGGAATTAATTATTTTGTCTGAGCTGATGAACGCACGGGAAACGGTAAGCTAGATTCTGTATGAAGAAAAATCAACTTATTTCTAAAGATCTATCAACTATCAACTAACAATTTTATTCAAGCGCGCGACATCACGAGAAATCTCGCCCGAATATTTCGATACGGTCCGAAAATTTTACTTTATTAATCATTATCAGCGCACAGACTTACGGGCTTCGCTTGTCTGCGAGAGGCGTAGCGTCATTTTGCGCGAACGCTGCGATCACTAACAAAAAGGCTAATTGCACCTGACCAGCCATGGTTGTACTGCCAATTGAACTACGATCGGTCAGGTAGTCTACATAATTTTTACTGTTATCAGACATCGCCTTATCAGCAAGCTTAACGCGATAACAAATTGCTGTTGTGATGAAAACGACAAATCTATCTAAAGTCGAAAGATATTACAAAAAAAATAATTCTTACTATCTAATTGTTTTATTTTCCAACTTAACGGATTCCTCCCGAGGATGTCGAAAACGCTGAAAAATCGTGATACATAAAACTGAGGGGAAAATATGTTTACCGCACGTATATCAGGTTATAGGAAAAGTTTGTTCCCACTTCCAATAGAGGATGTCGCACACTTGTCAATACGGACTGATAACGTTCCGTAACTGCCAGAATATTGACGAGAGATCGTAAATGGTGGTGATTAGTTAATTAATGGACAATTTGTTTCCACAAATTGCAAAATTAAATTGAAATTAAATTTGATTTGAGAAGCCAGCTAAGTTCTACGATATATATTAACAGAGTAGAGGAAGGGAATATATGCAAGCACATTTTAACGAATACGATATCTTTATAAAACATAACATTATATGCAAATAACGTTGTATCGAGTGTTTAAGTGCTGAGAAGGAGAATATATTGAACGGCGTTAAAACTGTGTCGCAAGATTATTTCAAGCATTAAATGAGTACACTTATAAAAAAAACACCAAATGACAAGAGATTAGAGTGATAACGCTTAATAAAGATCTTTTGATATGAAACAAAAACGCGATAATGCTCACCAATATCTTTTTTTCATACATGAAACGAAGAAGCAAAAGATCCCGTTCGTTGATACTCAAGCAATTCAGAAATCGACATGCGAATTGGAAACTAATTGCGCGAATATTTATCAACATTTTGTGAAATATCCATATTTCTAGATGTATTTTCTCAAATACATCCATAATTGCGTCACAAATTTTACGCAAGACGTATTTTCTCATTTGGGAAAAAATTGCTTCATAATATTAGGAAATCACAGAGAGATATATCGTGATTGATCTCCTCGTTCTTTCGAGTCAAGCCGTGTAATCAGAGAGCAATCAGGGACGGAGAGCAAGCGCGTGCTCAAAGCAGAAATAACCTTCACCGATGAGACTTTACGAACTTCCGTGTCCTAGTAATCGGATAACGTTATACGGTAAATCCGCAGCTAGCAAGGAGTACAACATAATAACATTGTATATTCTGAGAAGTGGTTCGCTAATCGAATCATACGATCAACTTTCTCGATATAAGACAATCTCGATGCTCTGCGATTTAATCCGTCGGTGGGATATTATCGCGGGAAAAAACAGCAAAGTTCAAGCCGCGTCCTCCCACATGTCCGATGCGGTCTGTCGAAACGTTCGCGCTCGTTGAACATGTCACTTGAACTTGAACTCGCCTTCTACGAGTGAAACCTCGTTTTCACTCTCTTCCCAAGTTCAAAGCTGTCTCGCGTGCGGCCGGCCTCCGAACGTTCAAAAATCGGTTCGGCGAAAACACCGGGGCGAGGTGAAGCGCGCGGACCCCGGCGTGTCTGACCGTGATTCAAGGTTCGCCGGAAAGTGTCATCCCCGGGGTTTCACTTTCGCTCTCGTCCAAGGCCCAACTCGCGCTTGATTTCGCTCTCTACGGCCCCGAGTCGCCGAGAGCGTACGTGCGCGCACTTTCGCCGCCGCGGCCCGCTGACCTCGAATCCCCCGCTTTCGACCCCGAAACCCAGCTTTCTCCCGATTTTCTCGCCGCGCGACCTACCGCGAGAGCGATTACGAGCGAGCGCGTTTACCGTAACAACGAGCTCTTCTGAGCGAGCGCGTATTACGTAAACGACCAGTTTCTCGTCGTCCGCAGCAATTCCGCTGCAGCGGCGGTAGCGCGTAGGGCAGCACCGTTAGTACCCGGTTTGGCTTCGCGTTATTTTTATTCTCGTGCTTATTTTCCATCTATCGCGGATATTTGCTGCGCGATGGAACATGATTGACGGCGTGTCGACGACAAAGTAGAATTCAATGGTTTAGGGAGGAATTATTAAGGAGCTCGCGAGAAAAGTGCTGGATTCAAGTAAATAATTACTCCGATATTTATTAGCAGATTTTTACTTCGATTGAATAAATTTTACTTGAATCAAATAAATATATATATGTATATTTTTTTTTTATTTTTTACTTGGATCGAGTAAATATTATTTGGTCGACATAAAAATTTGCTAAGAAATATTTGGAGGAATTATCGGAGAAATTATTTATATTCTATAATCTAGCGCTTTCTTTCACCGAGTTCTCGTCCGGTTCCGGACAACGAGACATTCAATTACACCAACGGAATTGTTTTCTCCATGTAGATTATATATGAAATTGTGACAGCTCTTGACTTGCGTCGCAAATTTACAGCGAGGATTTTAGCTCCGACTTAAGGTCAGGTTCGGGCTCGTTAGAGACTCCAGGATCGTGCGATTTATTTCCAGATTGGTGTTGAGACGCGCGAGCATCGTCCGTTTGCTCGCTCGCTCTCGTTCATTGTCACCGTTTAACGAGGTAAAGTCGATCTCTGCGGTCGAGAAATACTGTCGCGCGCGAGGTTCGTTATCGACGCCTCGGAATACGCCTCGTTACGTGGCGCTCTCTATACTCTCTGTAAATCTCAGTTGTAACGTTAACGAGGCGAACTGCGTTATTCGTTCGCGCGCGTGCGCGCGATCGTTGAATTTAATTAGGACTATACTCCGCCAAATTGCCAGTCGTTCGATTTCGGCGGTATGCCAGCTACCCGTGAATGCCAATTCCGCGCGTCGCAATTTCGTGAATGCTTATTTCGAGATCCTCCGATGAAACTTGAAATCTTCATTTCGCCAAAGAATACCATTGTATAAAGTTTATTAAAATAATAATTGACAAATAATTAATGATAGTTAGCTTCGGAATTTCAAAGCTCTTGTAAAACTTGCGAAAGCTGTCTAATTTTTATTTCCTCTCTTTGTCGTCTCCTCACCTTCTACATTATTATACACTTTTACAATTTTATAATTACCTTTCTATCTTTTTTTCCTAGAATCAGTTTCAGTGTATCTGTTTTTGTTATGTTCTCTTTGCAACTATAATTTTGTTACTCTCTCTCTCTCTCTCTCTGTTTTTCTCTCTCTCTTCGCGATAAGAACCTTATTCATGCAGCATCCTGAATGCTCATCGGAGCAAGTGATAATCGAGGAATTCATTTTCTTAACCGTTCGCTCTCATTAGTATTGCTGGCACCAGGCACGATCACAAGATAGTAACCCACGCGATTTACGGCTTGTCCCGGATGTTTTCCAAGATCGGTTAACGTTGCTCCTTTTCTACCTCCGCTCCTTTCCGCCTGCCTCTGTCATTTTTATCGTTCTTTAAATATCCTAACGCACTAAGAAGCAAGCGTCACGAGTGAAAAACAATATTGTTTGTCGGCCCTGGCCGCGGTTTGTCCTCGGGAACGTGTTACGATGGACCAATCACAGTCCGAGGAACGGTGGGCGTATATCGTGACGTTTCTTTACTACGTTGAATCACTAAGTCCGCTGCGTAATTCGTAAAGCGTGCTCATACCGGATCAGGCGTCGCCGGTATAATGTAACAGTATATACATGTCCGAGGTATGAGCGCCTTATATCAGTCGTAATGACAGTGTGACACTTCCCAATCCGATTATGTCATCGCCTCGCTCCGCTCTGTGATTTCCATAGTGGATAAGAGGTATTATTTCGCGGTTACGTTGGATCGTTTATCTGCGTAATTGTCCATGTTGCTCATTTTCTTACTATACTCATCGAATATACACTTCTTATTAACGAAATCCTCTTTATTTGTTTTCTTATTTTTTTAATCTGTTCTATCCCAATGAAACACTATCAGTATCAACTTTTATCTAAGATTGTGATTATTGAGAGTGATAGGTAGATACGTTTATTTTCGCTTTAGAACTTTATCTACTGCACAGTAAAAAATATTGCGTCAAGAACGGTCCACCGAAATTATTGTGTTACTTTAACATGGGAGGATATATATGAATATGTTAAAAAATATGCAAATATATATATATATATATTTCTTACATGTTCAACATTTGACCCTACAGAAAATTTATTTACACCAACGGAATTGTTTTTGCCGCGTAGAAACGTTGCTTCTAAACTATTAACTATGCAGTCGGAGTGCGAAAGAGAACATTTCTCGCAATGGCACACTTCGAAGAAGTGCCTTCGCAAAAAATAATTGTCGGATGAGAAACACGCGAGAAAAGAAATTGCCTACAAAGAAGGAAGAATACGCGACGTGCGTGAGTCGTAGGAACCCGGAGAAGAACGTAACAGGCTCAGCCTCGCGTCATTGCTTTCTCCTTCCGCGGTCGAACGAGCCTTCCGCGCTCGTTGAAGAGAAACCGGCCTTTGTTTTATTCCATTTTCGTCCTCGCGGCCAGTCGAACTGCCTTTCTACCCACTTCGTAAACACGCGATTCGCGCGTACAAAACACGCGTGAATACGCAGCGGCGATCAGCAAGTGCGAGGTCGCCAACCCCGCGAACGGCTCCCACAAGTGACGTAACGCGGACCATCTGTAGCGAGGAAAAGAATATCGAAGAGAAAAGCGCGATATCGTGTCGCCGATCCCGCTCTCCCGAGGGCGCGATATTTGCGCGGAAGAAGAAGTAAACATATCGACAGCCGCATCGCGCGTCGATATCGAGGTGTCATGACCGGCGAACGACGTTCCCGCGGCGAACGTAGCGCACTGAAAGAAATTATACTTACTTTTCGCCTCAGCTATATTTTTCTTGTAGTTTTCACCCAAAGTGTGCCGTATATTTCCCATGTTGAAGTAACGCGGTAAACTTGCTGGAAAAATGTTCTTCCAGACTATATTATTCCTTCACTTTGATGATTATAGCTACAAGTACCAAATATTTTTCTCTCAGTATTCCGTGCGTACTTTTACTTCCGTAACGAAATAGCGTTTAATAAACAACGTTTTCATATTTCACGCGACCGACCTTCGGCGAAGTTGTACGACGAAGTTTGCCTTGGTTGCGCGACCAATTGTGGCGACAGGTTTTTAATTGATCGTTTGAATCCCGACACGTTCACAATTGCCTTTGCCACATGTCACATATGTTTTTATGTAAGAAATACATATTTTTATCATACATTTATTATTTGAATATATGTTAACCTCTCTCTTTCTCTCTCTCTCTCTCTCTCTCAGTGTGCCAATGTCCGGGAATCGTTATGCTTCGGTCCACTGTACACCGAGTGTGTTGCAAATGTCAATGATTTCGGAATCGGGTTACTTATCATTTATGAATCTAGATATTAATATTCAGTAAATTTCGTATAGATCTGTATGAAATTTATGGCTAAATTGGACGGTAGAGAAGTGCGAATGACCTATCATAACATTTCGCGCTACGCAGTATGTATTATGCCAATAACAAGGACAGTTAAGAGAATCTGCGTATAGTTTTGTTATTAGCATGAGCGATACGCGTCTTGTTGTGACTGCAAACGTCGCAGATAATGCGCGATCTCTTTGTTTGCGCGTCACGTGAGTGCCAATAAAAAATATAATGTTGATCCTTAACCCTTTCATTCTGTTCGATAAATTATGTGAAGACACGACGCATTGTATCTTTCTCGAATAATTGCCATCATGAAATCGTGACAAATGAAACTGCGTGTAAGTACGCAGTACAAACCGTACGAACTGATAAGTTCAGCCAAGAAAGAAAATCTTGTGTAAAAGGTTTGAAAAATTTTTTTCCATGAAATACGATTAAAATATTTCTTTCTCATTTCTTCCCTCTAAGCCAGATTCGTGTATAAGATGACGGTCGTCGTCGAATATATATGCAAATTTTTATGATCTTTCTTAATGAAACTTTCTCGTTGCCGTTACGTAACATGCATGCAATGCAACCTCACTGTGAAAACACGTTTGTTTCCTATTTCGTAATAACCTAAAGTTTACCTTTTTCGATATTCTGTCTTTCAAATGGATAATAGGTTTACGTATTCTTAACACCTGACGATCGGCAGTACGGTTTGAAAGATTAACTATCGAGGATCATAGCCTCGCTTGTATTTTTATGCCAGACTAGTGACGCAGTGAAACATTGTCTTCTGAGTAACAAAATAATCCTTGAAAAAGTCTACGTTAAAATTCGTCTCGACAAAGAGAAACGTGAGAAGAAAACGACGAGCCAATTGGCCGATAGTAGATACTTCAACGTGACCGTGTTTACGACACGGAAATATCGAAGTATTAATTGCTCACGGTTTGATCGAAAATAAGATCGTCCGCGATGTATTGATCTAAACTCGCGATTAAGTCCGTTAATATATTTTTATATATAACCGCGTTATCACGACCGTGGTTTCACGGATCGCTGATTCTTGATTACTGATTCGATGTATTATTAAATTTCTTGCTCATCACAAATGGAATTGATGCAACGGCGTAGTACGACAAAGAAAACAAAAGAACATCTACCTGTATCGCACCTGATGTATCCTTTGTACAAGATTTCTGAGAAATTTTAGAGATATGTGAAAAACTGACGTTCAAACTGATAACGCGTGACGTGATGTGAGAAAGATAAGAAAATGATGAGAGAGCGAAAGAGTAGAACTACCGTAAATAAGACGAATTCAGATAGATTAATCATTGTGTATTGAGACACAAAATTATCTTAAATCAACCATTTCGACAAGATGACAACGACTCTCGATGACGGGAGAAAAATCGAGGATGTGTAAATATATTTTGCAACTACGACCCCCCGGGCTGCTTTTTTTCGACGCGTCGACATCACGTCCGCAGCATTGTATATTAAACTGTGTTTATTGCTGAAGCGGAGCATTGTAATAATATCTGAACCTGGTGATCATCTATTTGTCCGTTTGTTGACGCGCAATAGTTGACCAATCGCCGATGGCGTGATAAGCCGAAAGTGTTTTTCGGTGACGCCGGCTTGATCGTGCGATGTGCCTCGGCGCAGATCTAGGTCAACCACATCACTTTGCTTTCTTTTCTTTCCTACATCGAGGCAAAAGAGGCTCGGCCGCTGGTCTGACTGGCGACGACCAATCAATGTGCGTCTTACCACGAAAACACATCACGCGTTTCTCCACTTTGCAGGCACCACCCACCGACAAGTGCGCGCACGTGTGCGACATGCGTAAAGGGTGACGTGTTATGTGAATTATGCCGACTTTAATTATAGGAGGAAGTAACGGTATAAAAGATTCGGGACAAGATTTGGAAAGTATCATTTTACGAATATCTTGTCACCCCGTTGAAAGAAGAATTATAAAAAAAAAACGAGTAACAGCGTAAAAATAATGTGAAAAATAATGCTATTAATGCGTGAAAATTTGAATTTTTTTAACGAGTTAGCTGTCAGGAGAATCGTTTGTGTTCGTACTAATAATAATAAACAACGATAGTAATATATATAATAATAATAAAATAATTTGTTTATATGTTTTCAGTTAAATGGATACTTTTCGAAGAGAGAATCGACCGATAATGGATTGGTGGCAGTTGCATAAATAAACACGAGACCTCGTGAGAATTAATCTTCTTAAAAGCGGAGTTCCTTTTAATTGAATATCTTTGATTGAAATATACCAAACTTACTATAATCTAGAATATATTTTGAATCAATTTGATGTTTATGATGAACTTAATATATGATATACTTGCGGGAATATAAATTTATGAGAAATACTTGAAATAAGTAAAAAAGATTTTTACTCGAGTACAATACGTTTTATATATAATTTTCCGTGCGTAGTAATTGACAAAATAACGCGCGCGCCTGCGTTGATCTCAGCCAAGTGAAACAAAAGACCAAGAGGAAAAGAACGAGCGCCTTCTTCCTGAACACCGTGTATACGACGGGCACACATTCCGAGCCTGTTTCCGTTCACGACGATAAACACCGGACCGCGCTCGGCCGCGGTTTCAGTTTGTTTCAGTCGCTTCTACACGCCGGACGTGTCACACGCGTTTTTCACGCTCCTACACGCGCACGCCAGTCACACACACGCACACACACCTGCGTGCACGTGCGAGTACGTACGCCTGCTCTAGCGACTCGCGCGATTGGCGGCTCTCGTGAGAGAACGGACTTCGGCCAACGTTTCTTCAGTCAAGCGCAGCCGCTCGAGCCCGACGGACGTGCACGTTTGTCTCCGCTCATCTTCTTCGCGGACGAGTATTCTGCCGGACCCTGCCTTTCGGAGAGGTTCTCGAGATTTGCAAAAACAAGTCGTCGATCTCGTCGAAGACGTCCAATCGCTCCAGCGCTGTTCGCCGACGGTCACGTGCCTGCAGAGCTCGACGTTTCCCGCGCACTTTTCTCCCGGTGAGTACACAAACGATGGTAACGGGTGACAGGCCTCGCTCGCTCTGCGTGTGAAAAGTTTCCAACTCGACGCGATGTTTCTGATAGTTTGCTCGCTGTTTGACGAGAAATTGAGAAACTACAGTTATCTGACTCGCGGTGTCTCATGCGAGGCTCGAAAAGTCAACGATAAAAGCGGGAGTAAAAGTTTCACCGGACCTCAAATGGCGGGAGTCTCTCGCTTCGGGTTTGTTTTTCTCCCTTCTGGGAGAGACGGCATGTCGGTTAACTCAACTAATGTCGTTTGATTTAGACTGCGGGAATAGACACTTCGCGCGAGAATTAGTGAATTTCACCGTTTCGAATAACGTGTTCGTCGCGATACACTGATTGAAATCAGAAAACAGAGATCTGTTGTTGTTTTTAACGGGATTATTTGTTTGCGTCTTATTATCACACACGAAGTTCGTAGACATGTGCCTTTGCCGCGTACATGCGCGTTAGTTTCGTAACAGCTTGAACCGAAATAAACGGATTGTTGTTTGTTACTTCGCTGATAAGTTGCTCAACTTCCTTTTCTTCAACTTCTATTTTCCCGTGGAATAGAAACTCGCAAAACAATTGACGCGCAATATCTCGACAAATAAATGCGTCGGACGATACTTTCTGTATAATTCCTCCAACGGAACTTCCAATGGATTGCAAGTAGATTATGCACAGCGTAACCTTCTCAAAAGAAATGTAGTCAAGAAAAAAATATAAAGATTAATGACGACAGGGTATATAGTTACGGCACTGATTTCGTTTACGTTGAATTAATCACCACGGACTACGTTTTGTCGGGCTACGGAAGCCACGTTTACGAAGAGCAGAAGCAAGAAGAGACGGAATTTGTCCATATTGCCGCCGTGATTATTTCACAATGAAATCATATGGAAACGTCCGCTTTGTATAAATATTTTACTTGAGTTCATAATTGGTCATTTAAATACATTCGCATATATCTGCATACACGATGTCGGCGAGATTACGCATTCGAAAATAAAAATCGAACGTTCAATTGCTACATCGCGAACCGCATAGAGCTAACGTCGCGATCGTACATCAGCGATTAAAGCGAAAACAGTCTATTCAGTCAACAAAGAAAGCATCATCTTCGTCATATTCGGTGCATTTATCATATACGATCAACAATATTGTCACACATACTTTTCGTGACGCGTAAAACGACGTACAAAGAACTCGAATGTAAAACATTCCTTGCGCTGTAAACATTTAAAAAAATCACACCTTGCGTAATCAAGTTTTAATTTTATGCCAGATTAAAATGTGCACGTACATTTCTCAACACGAACGTAACATTCATTACAATTACAAATGCGCGGAGAGGAACGGTTGGGAGAAACGAATAAACAATTGATTTGCATACGGTGTCCTCCTGAAAGCTCCTGAAATTGCATAAGAAAAGAGAGAGAGTGAAGGGAGGGAGGAGGGGGGGAGGCCACGCGAGACATACGCAAATGATCGGAATATCAAGGTCTATGTAGCCATCGCACGCAATTCATCGCGTCAATCTGCTTTGAGCCCGCTGAAAGCTCCGTCATTCTCGCTCCGATGACGCTCGAAGCGTCCACACACGACCTCGTTAATTCGATGACGTCAGTAAAAAGTTTAGCGAGTTCGTAGTTCGTAGGAGAAAAAACATGTTTTTATACATTGCGGTAGTTATCGTCTGTATTTACAATTACGTTGATCGCTTCGCCGGCATAAGTTCGCACGGATGAGCGATGCGCAAGTGCGGAAAGTTGTAGACGGTTAAAGTACGTGCACGAATGCACGAATGCCCCTCATCGTGCCAAAGTACGTTAATAATGATATATAATAATGATACGACAAATTCTAATCAAGCGACAAACATCATGAACTTCGATAAATTATTGAACATTGGAATGTCTCGGAATCTCGAGTTGAATATCCGGGTATTGGAGAATACATGAAGAATTTAATTTTTCATCCGAATAATCATCGAGATAAACGAGATACCCTTATATCCTTCTAATCGATCTGTAACTTCTGATTTATAAGTAAATTGTAATAAATTATTAAATTAAATTTAAAAGTAAATATTAAATTGGAAAGTAATTATATTACATAAAACAATATTCATGTTTTACATGTATTTTATTATATACTCATCATATGTATGATATATTTAACATAAGCATATATATACATTATATATATTTATTATATATCTTTGCGTGTTATTTTTAATTTTACATATTTGTTAAGATTTCAAAAATTTTACAATGCTCCTTTATCATATGGAAAAGAATTTTCCGATTTCCTTCTTATCTATTACTACTACGATTTCCTTCTTATCTACTGCTATCCGAAATAAACAACTAAGAAGAACGTTAATTTGAAATTGACGAATAATATTTCAGCAAAGTTCAAGTATGTCGGTTGAATGACTAATAAATTCAAATATGTCGGTTTACAGAATGATTTACCGCGAAATTTTCTTGCGTCATTCAGTGACAGATGATAAAGATTGAGATAATAATTTCAAAAGTTCAAAACACACTATAAGATAGCACTGTCAAACGGATTACTTAGCGTTAATTTGTTATTTTAATTTTCACAGGAAGATAACCAAAATTTTAGCATAGCGAAGAATCGAACGATACTAACAAACACGATCGAACGCGCGCTTGCGAGTAGAAATTGCCATTTCATTGTTCAATTACTGTACACAATAGACGAAGCGTTCATATTCTGTCTGACAGAATTTAATACTTTACAGCTGAGGAACATGTCGGCTTTATCTCTGTCAGGTTTAGCGCTTTCCCTCTAATTTCAACATCCCGCAGTGTATCTTTAACGTAACAAACTCTCGACGGTGTCGCACGATTGTTCGTGTTTAGCGTGATGTGAGTATGGCGCAATAACGAACAAGGTTCACGGTTTGGTTGGAAACAAACGTGCGAGTTAGACGAGATCAGAGAGAGCTCTCACGAAAATGAGGATTTTCCTGTGAATGTGCCCATTGCATAATGTCTTCATTGCCGCTCGTGTATGCGCGCGCGCACGTTGGCTCGATGAAACTTGCTTCGCGTCTCCTGCGCTTTGATCTTATTTCGGTGAGACGCGCTGAATCAACGGGGCCCAAGGCTACCGTGTGAAATACGCCAGAGACCGCATACAGCCGAAACCTCCAGATTCCGAGAAAATGTATCACGACAGGTCGGCACGTGTGCGAAAGGAATTCATTCGCAACAATCAAGGAAAAGCGTTCAAACCGACATACTATTTTCTTTCTAGGCTCTAAAGTTTCGTTGAAAGTATAAAATTGAAAATTTATATGCTTGCAAACTAACAGCACTTATCTACCAAAATGTACATGTATGATATTCTTATGAAAATGTTTACATATTTCCTTGCGAATAATTATTATTTAGATGTCTGGGATTCACGGATTCTAGAAACTGGGCCTCAAAATCGACACACTTGTGGTGCCTATAGGAAATTATGAAATATTATATATAATATTATATATAAATATTATATATAAATTAAATAAAAGTACAGAAATCACATTATTTTGTACTAACATTATTTGTTACATATATTATCTTACGTGTTATTTTTAATCTTACATATTTCTTATAATTTTACAATTTTACGGGTCTATTGCTCTTTTATTATGTGGAAGAACTCTCCGACTTCTTCCTTTCGATCATTCTAAACAAATAAACAAGAAAAATCAGAGAAAATCAATGCACAGCTGTAAACAGCTGAAATCTTTCCTCTCCGATCCGAAATAAGCTAAATAATATATTTTTTAAACGCATTTACCGCCAATGAATATGCATTCGGAGTCGTGCAGAAACGTCGATAGGAGGGATCGCGGAATACTTAACGCCGTATTTCCGAATGTCGTCACTGAGTCCCGATATTTCAGTGCCACGACTATTCGCCTGTTCTTTTTCTTCTCTTTTCTTTTTCCCAAGAGTTACATTTTCGCGAAGAAACAACACGGACATCGATGAAGATGTCCCGAATGCGTTCAATCGCAGTAAGGACGATCGAAAATAGTCGCAAACCCGTGATTGTGTATTCAGTGCCAGGTCCATGGCCACGCGAATCTTCACCTGGACGAAGGCCAGCCGGCGTCCCTAGCGCGCGCGTGTACGGATATTCTGCTTTTGTGTGGTTGTTCGGCGATGTCCGTCACGCGAATTCATCACGGTTCCAAAACAACGGGTCACGAGACCACTCGCTCTTTCATCTCGCGCGCGTGGCTCAACGTGCTCTCGGGCGCGTCAACAGCGCGAGAATCATGGCTGATCATCAATCTGGCTGCGAGAATAATCGTGGAGTATGTCGGGATGAACCGGCGTAGCATGTCGAAGTAAGTCAGAGTAAAACTGCGTGACCCAGATTGCGATCGGAGTCGAAGAAAATGCGTTGGTAGAACGGTATTTGCGGACGACTCGTAAAATCTAGTTTCGCGTTCGAATATTGTTGAAATCGGAAATGTCGCGAGTTCCCTCCCTCCCTTTTTTTTTCTTTTATTTTCGCACGTTGATCGCCACGTTGACTTCCGTTGATTGCATGAGAGCTTAATTGAGAATTAAATTGTCCCACACGGGAAAAAAAGAGATTGATTGAATTAACGTTACAATGAACGAGCCGAGAACGAGCGTTTTAGTTGGAGGGAACAGAATTTCTGCTATTTATGAGCCAAGTTTGGTTCATAAACATCATTAGAATCGGAAAATTAGATGGAAAAAGGTAGGAAGAAAAAGTTAAGTTCGGTTTCTACAACCGGAAATTCTGTGTCTTTCAATCAAAACACGTTTGGTTTGTCCATTTCATGTAAATCCAACGGGACTTCCGTGTGGTGTCAATCACTGCGGTGACTGTCACTGTATTCAACTATGTTAATTTCTTGGAGGAAATCGAGTCTAATTGATGCACGGGATAACGAGCGGTGTGTCAGAAAAGTTACACGTAAA